GATTTGATTTTCAAATCAAATATTCAAATGTCAAATCGAATTGCGGAACCCTAACCAGCACATTCCGAAAAGTATATTTCGAGTAAAGGGGTTGCGAAGTAATTAGGTAGCACAAAAGTAATGCCATCAGCCCAAGTAATGTCTCTAGCAGATCCCTCTGGGATCACACCAGCTATCCCTGTCATTGCAAGTCCCTTAATGTCACCATTGATAACATATACCATATTTACTTTACTACTTCTTGCAATTATATGGATTGTTGGAAAAAAAATATGGAATTTATGAAAAAAAGTAATACTGAGTATTCTTCTAACTGGAACTATTTTTTATCATCTCCGGGTATTTCTGAGGTTGGGTTATATGATCGGAGGCTGGAAGATCGAATATATGAATTGAAGTTAGCCAGTATTATTACACGAGAAAAAAAATATATAAATAATATTATGCAAAGCGCCTTAACGGCTAAGTATTCTTAGTTGAAATTACCACATCCCGCTAAGAGTACTTATCCATATAATTCGATGATCTCGTCTATATCCGCTTTGGATGAATTGTCGAAATACCTAGAAAGTTTATTGCAAACCTTTTATATATCTTTTAAGCCAGTTTTTTGTCTTTCTCTGGAAATAATCATCGATCTCCTTTTCTCTTTTATCTGAATCTTTAATCTGCATTATTTTATCCAATGGGGGCGGTTGATAACTATCATCTTCGTTAATGAAATATGCGCACATTCCTACCATTTGTTCTAAATAGTAGCTGATATCTATCTCCATATTAAACTCTTTCGCAATATTTGCGAACTCCATATAATCGCTCTTCCTTGTTAATTTCGTGCTATCTTCTTTATAGCGGAGACCATCATTCACTACAACATAACTAAAGTACTCACCAAAGTTAGGGATCTTTATATTTTTTTCCCCGCTTGCTATTCTTTCTCTCATCCATTCCATAAAGATTTTATTGCATGCGAGGCCTCCTTTAGCCTTCCATTTAGACATTGCAACAAACTGGTTAAAATCCCACTGCCTAAATCTAGCATCTCGAAGAACATCTTCAACAATTTTATGAATTGAACGTGTGTTATTGATACACATAGCCTCCCATATAATCTTTTCTCCAATAAACCTGAAGAGCTCAGAATTGACTTGCTTTACAGTATCAATTCTTTTCATAAAGAGATCATCTGGTCTAAAGTTTACTTCATCTTCTTCATCTTCATGCCCAATCCTAAAGTACTTCTTTTTGCCAGTAAAGCAGACAGGAAATAATACCTCTTCGTATGCCATCATTAGATGAGAGGTCCCACTTTTTATCTTAAGATAAGCATTTATTTGATCGCGCAATTTTTTCATCACATCCATAGTAATTTTGATCATTTCAGTCCAATATGCTTCCTTAGAAAGTTTTTTTCTAGAGAAGGCTTCATCACATTTCACGTAATACTTTTCTAAGCAGGTAAAATACAAAAAATCAGTATCCCCATATTTTATCCCAAACCCTTTCTTTGATACGAATTCTGTGACAAGATTAAGATTGTATTTTCTCACTGAAGTAGTTCCTCCAGCTAATTCACGAAGAAAGATAGGAGATTTTGAGTTTCCATTTTTCTCATAAAAAGTGTTCATGTATACTTTCAGAGCTTTTTGCTTCGAATCAGAATAATCATAATCGAAGCATATGGATGAGTATTCTAAATTTAAGCTTTTTGGAATCTTTTTGCCTCTTTCTTTAGCTAAACTTATAATCTTCCCAAGATGTTGCTTTTTCTTTCCTAGTGGGACTAGACGTGCTTTAAGTTCCAACCTCTTGTTA